TCAGTATTTTTAGCTGCACAAAGCAATTTAATTATTTATTTTGTTGGTGCTGTTTAGAGAAACAATGCCTCTGGGTCAGTAGTGCAGAGATTCCTTGGATAGACCTTGAAAGGGAAGAATTAGGGTGGTGTTTGCCAAGAAAGTAAAACAGTGAGAGAATTCTGTGTACTGTTGGAAATAGTTTAAAGTGCAAAAGACTGTATTTTTTGTTTGATGTGGAAAAGTGACTGTACATGTTCTGGATGAAAATTCAAAATATTTTGTGCATTAATTTTTGTGTTGTTTCTCTTGATGCATACCAGAAATCATCTGGGGGAAAACACTGATCAGTAAGATGCTTTTTTCTCTCTCGCCTTTCAGCTAAGATAATATATTTCACTTCATAATAAAGGCTTTTGATTTAAACTCCTGGAGCATGGTCAGAATGCTGCCAAAGTCAAAGAACTTATTTCTGTGCCTTTTTATTTAAAAAAAGAAATAAAAGAGTTAGATTTAAGTAGATTACTTCCTGGATGTTGGTTTGACAACATGGATCCGGGTGATTTTCAATTCAGGAGGAAGCAGAAAGCAGCTGGTCTTGGGAACATAATACAACACAGGATATCTGCTTGGAAATTGAAATATCTGCATGATTTTTTTATAAAATCTAAGGCAGCTGCTAGAACCCAACATCTGCAGCCATGTTCCATAATGGATCAAGAAAATAAAGGGAAGTGGAACCAGTGAGGTGAAGAAAGGTTGTGCAGGGATTATAATTTGTTACAGCAGGCAAGGACAGGTTGGGCTTCTTTGCTGTGTTCTTGGTTCTACTGCCACAGCTATGGCAGGTTATCAATCTCTGCTTCAGAAGACACCTCACAGTCATGGAAGCAACTCTCTTAACTTCAATTAGGCTTAGAGTTAAGTACACATAGGAAAAAAGGAGGAGTTGGCAAGTTATAGATCAGGTAGCTTCAGTTTGTGGAAATTATCAAGCAAACCATCTGTCAGCATTAGAAGAAAGATAGACAAGTAACAATGAACATTGATTTGTCAAGAACAAACCCTCATAAACCAACCTGATCTCCTTTTACTACAAATAGGTGTTATACAAAGAACAGAAGTGTTAAAAAGTCACGTATCTTCATTTTAGTAAAGCTTTTGGCAATGTTTCTCAAGAATAAGCAAAGACAATATGGTTCAGATTGAAAATTCCATGGATCAGAAAAAGCAGGGCTGAGGAAGAGTTAGCAAAATGAGGCCACTACCCAAATTGAGAGATGTGTTGAAAGAGATTCCTCAGGGGTCTATCCTGTATCTGATATTTATAAAACATCTGAAGAAGAATAGGATGGAGACTAAGCTTGTTACATTTGAAGAGGAAATGAAGAGAGCAGCTAAAAGTGTGTTAGAGAGCACAATTAGAATGTAGTGGGATTTTTTCAACGTGAGATTTTTTTGGTTTTAAGAAAAACACTAAAGATTATAGAATAGGTGCAAGTGTAGCCTATTAGACATAGCATCATCAGTTCCCCAGATACAGGAAGGGGAAAAGTAAACAGGATTACAGTTGCATAGAAAAAAAGTAGAGTGAATCACAGGCTAAACACGAGTCATTGCTGTTATGCTGCTATAAAAAGGCAAATGCCATACAAGGGGGGTAGGAACAGGAAGGCAGCCTGAAAATAGGCACAGCAATTATTTTGCTCTGCTAACCTATGGTACAACTTCAATTTTAGTTTTTCCTTTTTAAAGTTTTTCACCTGAGGCATGCTTCACTTGGAACACTGCACTTCCAGAATGACACTGAGTGACTGGAGTGTAGTGGAGACCAAGCTTGAGAAAACATTAAACGTCAGGATACTAGTAGGACTGTTTGGATTAATGAAGAACAGAACATACAGGAAACAGAACCTTTAAATACATAAAAACTGCTAGAGGGAGGCAGCAAAATGTTCTCTCAACCCAGTAAAGACAGACCTTTCACTAATGCACTGAAATTGCAGCAGGGGATATATTCAGAGTATACATCAGAAAAAAAGACCTCTAGTGATAAGGATAGGGAAACACTGGGAAAGATTGCCTGAGGAGATGGCAAAGCACCATACTGGGAAGTCTTTAAGAACAAGATTGAAAAAACAGTTATGTTGTAACATAACTGCTGTTGTAACAGTTGATCCTGTCTTGGGGAAAGGGAAAGGAGCAGAGCGGGTGATTTCTTATGGTCATCTTCAATTTTTTGCTTCTTAGCATTCTTCTGTTGCTTAGAGTTCCCTGGTTATAATATTCACCTCACAAATTCAAACAGAGTAGGGAGAGCTCTGGTTTGGATGTCCATCTGTCAAAAAACTAAGGCAATAGCTGTAAGCTTAAAGGAATTCAGAAAAAACAGTTCTGGAAAGGCAGTTATACAGTGCAGAATTAAAGTTAATCCATGCAGTTTATCAACAGAAGGTGAAGGTGTAAATCTGCTGTATTTTACGGACACTTTCAAAAGGAAGATATTTCTGTTAACAAGAAGCAGGCTTGCAATGGACAGATGCAGCAGCTAGATGAATTTAACTTTCCAAGCAATATTTATATTTCTATCATTTATTTTTTTACATGTTAGGGTAGCATGGTACATGTTAGGGTAACCACTGAGAAATGTTCAAAAGTACAATGACGGATTCACCATTTCTCCAGCTCTTTGAAATAAAACAATGTCTTTCTAAGAAGCTACTACAGAAAGATCTTGGTGTGGGAATGGCTGGAGGAAATTCTACAGCTTTCAATATTCAGGTTGGACAAGATGATTATAACAATCTCTCTTGGCTTTCAAATCTGTTTACCCAACTTTGTAGAGAGATGTAATGTTTATAGATCACTGTCAAATCTGCATAAATGGATTAGAAAAAGGCATGAATGAGCAATTACTCTTGTGACCTCTATGAGGTATAATACTCACTATTTACCGGGTCATTATATTACAACTTGTAATTCCTTTCCTCAGTTTTAACATCACAGATTAATCTCTGCAATAGCATCTGGAGTTCCATGGAGTAATATATTTATATTAGCAGCATTATATATGACAGCAAATATATACTATATATCATGGTATATACATTATAAGCTATATAGATGAGATAGAGAAGGACGTGTTACAACACCACTAGTTTTCCTCCTTTTGTTCTAAAGAGATGTGTGGGGTGGTCTTTGTTTTCTCCAACGGGTCAAAGCTACAGTCAGTCACTGTCATCTTTGTTCTGGAGTCACTGAAGAGTTAGGTGATGGTCACCACACATCAGCTGTGAAAACCACCCAGAGCAGATTCAACAAAGTGTAGCACACAGGAAGTTCTTTATTGGGACCCTACAGATCGTAAGAGTCCTTGGTACTGCTCCTGGTAATCAGACGATTTACCTATGTGGATGTCTGTGATGAACCTACATAAACCACTTGTAAAGCTGCTGTTGTTGCAGAGTTTAGTGTGGTTGTTCTGTTCTGACAGGTTCTCCAGGACTAAGATCTGGATAAAAACACTGCTGAGCAGCCGTTCAGGAACAGCAGGTTAAAAAGCAGAGGCTAGGTGACATTTTCAGAAGAAAAAGGCCTTGGAGCTTTTTCTCACTTCAGCTAACATTGGGAGGGTTGTCTCTTCTCAAGTTCAGGCTCCCTTGTCCTCATGATTTACCTCTTAGGGTATCTGCATTTACAGTAGAGGTGAAGATGCAGCCAACTCCGCATCAAAACTTCAGTCTGGCACTGAAGTTTGACACTTGAACTAAACCTAAATTCATGGTTGTTTATTAAAAGATTTTCTGGGTAAACGGCTCCCACTAAAATCAATGGGCTTTTAGGGCATGGGTATCTACTCCCAGAGGGCATCAGGTAGGGCTGGGATCAAGGTATTGTGGTAGGTGGAGCCTTGTGGATCAACCAAACCTTTCCAAGCAGTGGTTTTATTTGGCACATCTGACAACAGGCTTTTAATAAGAAAATGCAAACAAGCTGTCATGGAGGAAAACCCTAATTTTGAAATGGGTGGCAGAGAATTACACTTTTTTGGGTTTCTTTTTAATGTAATGCCAACTTTACTTTTATTGGAGGACTGATGAGCTCTCTTTCTGCATTGGTTATAGGCAGAAAACTGCAGAGTCACCAGTAACAACTCTGGAGATATTTAGAGAAAGGATAGGTACCAGATGCTCTCATTTTTCCCCAGAGAGATCCTGTGTAACGTTTCACAGAGCCTAGAGGAAAGAGTCAGAAAAGTGCTGTTTGTTCACGCAACGAGATGTTACAGCCTACTAATTTGACTTTGGATGGTTTTAACATCCATCTGGGAAAAAAGTGTGGAAAATTATGTTTCTTGGCCATAATTTTTTTTACGGTGCTTAAGTTCTTTGAGGTTTTATGAAAGGTAATTTGTTTTCCCACTAACGTCCTGTTTCGGCTCTGGTTTGGCAAAACGGAGCGCTGAATTCCTCCTTCTGTGTTTTTAATCTCACTGCTTTTCTACTCCTTCCCATTCATATTTTGTCTGAACTTGGCTGTTGCAACTGAGATTCAAACAATCCCAGCAAAACGGGAAAAATGAGGTCTCCAGACCCTTTCCCTAAGGAAGAGCCTATGTTCATAAGACCCCCAGCCAGACAGCAGGCTTGCTAAGAAACGTACTTACTTTTTCATCGGAAAAGGAGGGATAACTTGGCAGTCCTTGGGTAACAGAGGGACTTGATGACCTTAAAGGTCTTTTTAAACCTAGTTGATTCTACGACATGCATTATTAGCTGCTGCTGTCACCTCCCTAGGCTTTCCTCCATCACCCTTCCAAGCACTCCCAGCCCTCCCCTCACACCACAGCTCGCAGGTCCCCACACTGCCACCATGGCTGGGTGAGTTTCTGCTCGAGGGGACCTGGGTATAGCGCTCGAGGATGGTTGTGTTATCATTTGTCATTATTACTGTCCTTTTCCCTGCTGTTGTCAGCATGGCTATTACGATTTTCTCTCCCTTGTTCTTCCACGAGATTACCGCCACCCGCTTAACGACTAGATGGAGGGAGATTGAAGGTGAGGGAGGCGGTGCCTTTAAGGGGTCTGGGAGCGGCGCTCGATGGCTCCGCGCTCCATCGATTTCTTCGGGCAGCAGCTAGAGGTGCCTGTTCCGGCCGGACGCGGAGGCGCTGCCGGGAGCGGAGCTGCCCCAGGTGCCGGATACGAACGCGGCGGCGGCGGCCGGTGAGTGACAGTGTCTGGCCTCCCGCCCCGCTCTTCCTCCGCTGGGCTCTGCGGAGCCGGCTCTCAGCGGGACAGCTCCGGCTCCTTTTCCCTCCCTTCGGTACCCCCCCTTCTTCCTCCTCCGCTCCCGCGGGGAGTAGAGGCTCTCGCCCGCCGGGCGGGGTCGAGTGTCGCGTCCCAGGCCCCGCCCTACCCCTGGGGACGGAGGTGCCGGTAAAGGCCTTTGGGGTGAGGGGGATGTTGCTGGTCTCCCGCTGGTTCGCAGTGCGAAGCCCCTTCTCAGCCTTCCGGTGGTACCTGCGGCCCCGCCGCCGGGTTGCGCTCATACCGGCCTGTCACCGCCGGGACGGAGCGGCGCTCGTCTCCCCGAGGCCAGGGACTGGGGGAGGACGGCGGCTGGGCACCGGCCCCCGCAGAGCCGCCTGGTGAGGGCAGGGGGCGGAACGTCCCGGCTGCAGCGGCTCCCTTTCCCTTCTCCCCCAACCGCGGGCAGGAGGATTCCCGTCAGCCGTGAATCCTCGGGGGCACACGGTGTCCTGCCGGCGGGTGGGTGGTTGCAGAGGGCTGGCCTGGGTAGGAGAGAGCCGTGTCTTGGCCGCTTTTCAGTGCCGGTGGAAAGGGCCCCGCAAACCAGCGGGCAGGGCAGTGCCTCAGTGGGTTTGGATTTTGTTTCTCAGCGCTGGCAGCGGGTCTTTGGGGAGCTTCTGGGCCCGCTTGGTTACGCGGTGAAACCAATCTGGTCTAAAACCGTATTAAATTGTTCAGCTCAGTGAAGTCTTGGTGTCTGTTGGGTAGGGGAGTAGAGGTAATAAGCAAGGTCTGAAGAGCTGGTTATTTGTAGGTCTGGTTTTACTGTTTTTAAACTTTGCAGTCAGTGGTACCATAAAGTTTTGGAGGTAATTTCCCAGATGAGCATGTTCTTAGGCGAGTATAATAAGAAAGTACCCTAGTGAAGAATGTGGCACAAGTCAAAACAACATACCCTGCTTGAGAGATGGTTGCTTTCATGGATATTGAACTGGAAGTGTTACACTTCCTCTGTGACTTTTTTTCTTTTTAACTTCCTACCCAGTTCAGCGTTTCTCCTGCACTTTGACAGCCTTGCAGTCCAGAAAGGTCCATGAGCTGGGTGACCAATGTCTTTCCTTCCTGCCTTTCCTGTAACTTAATGAGGAACCTGAAAGCAGTTCATATCAAGGGGTGTAGATGTCTGAAATAGGGGATGACCCTATTTCCGAGATTGAGTTTTCTAGTTTAGTCCAGTCTAGTTTAGCTGGTTTTCAGAATAGTTTTCTTTCAACACTGCAGTTTTCCCTGTCCCTTCCACCCCCCAATTTTTCAGTTTCCAGCTTCTAGCCATATGCATAGAAGTGTCGAATTGGAAGCCAGTGAAATACTAAGCCATTTGCTTCTAATAGAGCATAAGATTAAATCTAAACTACAAGTATTCATTCTTTTGCGTTTAAAATTGTAATCTCACTTCAACTTCCCAGGCTTTTTGACAATTCCTAAAATAAGTAAACAGTCTATTTTATCCTTTAGTGATCTGTGTGCATTTCATTACTGTAAACTTTGTTTTGTTTTTGATTTGGATAAAGTTGTCAAAACAGTCAAAGGACTTCTATTTGTTTGGGGGTTTTTAATGTAAACTCCAAACAAACTTGTGGCTTAGGAAAACAGGCCACTTTTCTTGCTTTACCTTTTGCTTACCTGAAGAAGAAAAGCTCTGTAATTCTTGGTTCTCTTATTTCTGTAGTATTTATCAGAGCTTACATTGACCCAGCAGCAGCTGCAGAAGGCATGTCCTGCTGCTGATTTCTTTCCCATGGACAGCTTTAGTTTACAGATTTGTGATTTATGCCCACCCTTGGACAATAATGTTTTTACTTGGATGGGATTTCTGTTGTCTTAAACATAATTTAAACCAGGATGTAATTATTCTCATGATACTACTATGACTTATACCATTAATTTATATTGTAATGGTAAGGAGGGTTTTTGTATGGAAAAGGTAACTTTTCTTAGTATGTGTCAGAGGTGAAAATATTTAATTAAAAGTGTGTTACCAATCAAACTTGTGCTGGTTTGGTTTTGTTTTGGTGTTTGTTTTTTTGGTGTTTTTTTTTTGCTTGTTTGTTTGTTTGGGTTGAGGTTTTTTTGGGTTTTTTCTTTTTTGGGTTTTGTTTTGTTTTTTTTAAGAAAATGTAAAGTTGTCTTTTATTTTCATGGCCTTTGTTCAATAAATTACAGTATTTTTACAGACTTGATAGTTTGGGTTCTTTTAATGCTGTAATTGAGCAGATATTAGTGCTGAATAGCAGTCTAAGTTAATAGACATTTCAGATGAATTCTAAAAACTGCTTTAAGTTCTAAGTCATGAACTTAAACATTTTTGAAAAAAGTCTATAAAGTAAAATACTTATCGCATTGCCCCTTGAGTGGTGGATAGTGCCTGGAGAAAGCTGTGTCATCTTCAATACAAAAGGTACTGTACACTAAGTAGTTTCGAATCTATAGTATTCAGATTTTTTTTTTAGTTGTAGGTTTTCTTGTGAATGAGCAGTGGTTTTTTAGCTATTGAGAGCTTTTGATGCAAAAACAGACAATGAAGGTGTTAAGATACGTAATCCACTGCTTGTTTTCCTGATTTCCTGTTAAAAAGAAACTGTATCCACTGATACAGACAGGTTTTTATTACACTGCTTTTCAGTGAAGCTGGATTAAAGCAAAATAAGTGGGTTGACTAGAAAGGCAGAGGCTGCTGACATCTTTTAGTGATGAAGACTTTTAGCTATGTTATGTTAAAACATAATTAATTTCATTCCATGTACTGATAAATTTAGCTGCAAATTCAGTAAGTTTTTCAGCATTGTGCTTGAAACTAAGCAAAAGTTTTGAGTGTTTAGTTCTGTTTATAAAAAAAACAACAACCCAAAGTAGGATTGCAATAGAATGGTGACAGAAGACTGAATATAAAAGCTGTTAATGAAAACATGGATTCTGACAGCTATTGGTAGTATTAACGAAATAATCTACAGTTACAGTTTGGCACTCCAGGACAAAGCAGCCTGTGAAGCACAACCAGACACCTGCCTGTATTTTGAATGACTGTGTGTCACTTCTTAGTTACGCAAACAGGTAGAGAAAATCTTCCACAGGAGAAATTTGTAGTACTTCATTTTATAGAGAAGGACTGAAAAATAATACTGAGAAGGCTGTCCATGTTACACTGAATTCATTTTCTGTGTGAGTTTTTCAGTAAGAGTGGAATCTACTCCTGTACTTATAAGTATGCCGAAGGTTCAAAATCTGAAAACAGCTAAATTAGTACCTTCTAGCAAAAGTCAGATGTTAGCTCTTCAGCTTAACTTTGACCTTCTGCCTTGGACCACCTACATTCTGTAAATCTGTGCTGTGCAACATTGTCTTTCAAATTACTTTTCCCAGGGGAGAAATATAGTGCTTGGTAATCGGAGAAATCATTTTTGTAAAGGTGCTTGTAGGATGAGGGATGATTAGGCAGCACAGGCTTAGTGCAGTTGTGTCAGAGTTTCTTCTTTTGTGCTGAACATGAAAGCAAAAGTCTGCGTTTACAGCTCGCAAAGTATCTGTTTTAAAATAAAGCTGATTAAAATTTTGTACCTTAACCTGAAAATTATTTTATAGATTTCTTGTCAGTATTTCAGTTCTAAAGCAGTTGGATTGTTCTTCCAATCTCAGAAGTTAGAGGAGGAGGGTGGGACAAGAGGAAGAACTTGTTTCTTGTGATGTCCTGGAAAAAATAAAAAAGGAAGTTGAAGCAGTTTTCCTAGAAAATTGAGTAATGAGGGAAATGAGTAATGAGAGAAATGCTCAAAAATAAGGATTGTGTGATTGCTATGTTATAAGCTTTGCACAGGGAAAGGTAAGGTAAGTAATATTTTAAACAACAAAGTCAAACACCCTCCCTCCTTCCTATGGAACAATTGTAATTGTACTTTTTATATTATTTTGGAAGTATTTAGTGCTTTTTTTTCGAAAGGAAGTTGGTTTCTAAAGCCTTTCTTTGACAACAGAAGTTGCTAATTAATCTGCAGACAGTATGTTCAGCATTTTCAGTGGAAAACACTGTGATTGAAGTCAGTGATAGGTGTGAAAGCCTATGTTTCCTTTCTCATTTTTTTGGCTTGTTTTTATGGGAAACACAGTTTCTGAGACACCAAGGCCTTAAAGGGTCTGGGTTTTCTCTTGACCTTAAGGGAACTACAGGTTCCCAGATTTTCAGTTTAATTTTCAAAGGTAGAATTTGGGCTATATTGTGCATAAGCCGGTGGGGACTCTGACAGTGTAAAAGTATCTGTGCATCAGATTGCAGTATAAATCAGTGATTTTTAGGTAGATTTTAGTTTGTATTATTTCTTTCACTTCGTGGAGAACCAAAAAGCAATGTACCATGTATCTGGAAGTTCATCAAAAAGCATGTAGTAGTTAAAGATTTGGGGCTATGGTGAGTAAAAGTTCCTTTTTAAATGCCCACTTTTATATTGAGGACAAATTAAACTGATATTTTGAGATAATTCTAAAAATGTCTCCGTTGTAAAAGCAATTAATTTTCTATTTAAGAATTCTGAAAGTCTTGTGACACTTCAAATCTCAGTGGTTTTAACATATACCTTGCTTCCTGCTGGAAAACTGAACATTAGGTTTTTGGCAAAAAGTGAAGGAGCTGTGTATATAGCTGATGGGTTTTTCTCGTATTTCCTTTTCATCACTCTAGAAGGTAGGGGAGCTTGTTTGTCACAGTACAACTTCACTGCTATGAAAGCGTGATAGTTCCATACACAATATGGGTTTTTAGGCAGATGAGTGGAAATGTAGTTTGAGGCAGGCTGAAATACATCAGAAAAATACCTGTGTGTGCAGACTCTCAAACAGTGAAACTCTTGAGCATGTGTTTGGCCATGTGCACAGAGGAAGATGCTGTAGTTAGTGGCTTGAGTACTTCCCTGTGAGAAGAGGTG